CTTTTAAAAAAATGGAATCCCCCTTTAAACCCAAGCTCATGAACGAACTCGGACGAACGAACAAATGGATGAATGAATCAATGAAAAACATAGAAACGAAAGAGGAAGATGAGTTTGAATGTTAAAGACTTCAAAACTTTCATCAATTGGCAAGAAATAGTCGCTCAAGTCTTATTGTTACTAAAGAAACCCAAGTTGAGATTTTTGTAATATGTCAAGTCCTTTAGTTCCTAGCTTGACCTAAATCAGTTTACATTCTTATACTGAGGTACACGCTAGTTATAATTAAAAGGTTAAGTGATTATGAAAACTTAATACCTCAACTTCAAATGTTGAAAGCTCGACCCTTACCTTCAAATCTCTTAAATTACAATTCTAATCTTTCAATAAACAATTCCTTTTAATTAAGATAACAAAAATTAAATTTATTTGCTAAAATTTTCACTTAAATGTTAAAACCTGTAACCCTAAATTAAGGTGTTACAACTTGACGTCCGGTGTGGGGCAGATTGGTTGTCGTACATGAATTTCCTAGCCATTGTTAGGAATCAGAATAATTAACAACAAAACGAAATTATTTGGACAAATTTACAACAAAATTAAAACAAATACTTATAAATTTGTAATTATTTACTACTCAGGGGCGGATCCAAGGGGATCCCGGGGTAGCCCGGGATACCCCTCAAATTTTTTTCGGTAGTGTAATTTTTGTTTACGTATCCCTCAAAAAAAATTTGGTATAATGTATATATACGCATCCATCCACTTATAAACATAAACAAACAGTTGGTCCTTGGTTAAGGCTTTGGCTTATTTAAGCAAAGGTCTTGAGTTCTATTCTCGCTTCTTACATATTCTTTGTTTATTTTTGTTTTATTTTCCCAACTATTCAATCCCACATCGCTAAACACATGTAAACTCAACCATTTTTTTCTATTATATAAACCTGTTATGCTCATGCTTTATTTGATATCTACTTTGAGTCTCATATCGATTCAAGTATCAAAATATACTTCAACTTCATGTTTATATAACAAGACTTGAGGTTAGCTAAGGATTCAATTAGGATTTGGGTTTAAAACCGAACCCGAACCCGAACCCGGGAAACCCAAGTACCCCAGGAAAAAAATTAGGTTACTCTAAAAAAAATTAGGATACCCCTTTACTTTGATCCTGGCTCCGCCACTGTTACTACTCTAAGATTTGTCACAGAAAAATAGAAGTATTTATAGGAGAAGTCTTAGGTATTGAAATGAATCATGAATGGGATATTTGAAAAAATATGTGTATGAATTGAACGATAGAGTGTGGGAAACAGCAGAAGAACCCACTACCCTAACCAAACTTATATTTGGATTGGTGCATTCTGTATCTGTATGGACCACATTGTGGTTAATTGGGTTTGGCCACTTAGAAGAGCTTTTGGAGACCCCACATTACAAAATGCCTATAAATACCATGCATTGCCATGCAAATGTCAAACAACCAACACTTGTGGGATTTGTTATATCACTCTCCGATCCAATGGCTATTCACAAACCTTCAAGTGTGGTTTTCTTGGTCTTTTTATGCTTGAGCATTTGTGCGGCTGCTAGAGTTCTCTTAACAGTCGAAGAGGGCTACAGTCATGGTGGTTATGAAGGTGGCAGTTTATCTGGAGGTGGTGGTGGTGGAGGTGGTAGTGGTGGTGGAGGAGGAGGAGGAGCTGCTTATGGAGGAGGTGGTTATGGGGGAGCTGGAGCTGGATCGGGAAGTGGGGCTGGTGAAGGTGGTGGATCAGGGTATGGTGGTGGAGCTGAAGGAGGGGGAGGCGGTGGTAGTGGAGGAGGTGGTGGAGCTGGAGGAGGAGGAGGAGCAGGAGCAGGAGTTGCGGGAGGACATGGTGGGGGTTATGGTGGAGGAGAAGGAGCCGGGAGTGGCGGTGGATACGGTGGGGCTGGAGGAGCAGGTGGCGGAGGTGGAGGTGGACATGGTGGTGGTGGTGGTGGTGGTGGAGGAGCCGGTGCAGGAGGAGCTGCAGGCGGTGGGGGATATGGCAGTGGAGGTGGAGCTGGAGCAGGAGGAGGCGCCGGAGGATCACATGGTGCCGGAGGAGGTGGCGGTTCTGGAGGTGGAGGGGGTGGCGGTGGTGGAGCTGCCGCCGGGCATGAAGGTGGTGCAGGCGCAGGGGGATATGGCAGTGGAGGTGGAGCTGGAGCAGGAGGAGGTGCCGGAGGATCACATGGTGCTGGAGGTGCCGGAGGAGGTGGCGGTTCTGGAGGTGGAGGTGGTGGCGGAGCTGCCACTGGACATGAAGGTGGATATGGAGCTGGTAGTGGTAGCGGCGGTGGTGAAGGCGGTGGTCATGGTGGCTATATCCCTTGATCAAAAAATCAACTCTTTGTTCCATTTATAGTCTTAAAATGAGCATATAATTTACTCATTTTTCCCATTATAAAAATCCACAATAAGATTCAACGAGACCTCAACCTATACAAATGAGATGCATCCAATCAATTTGTATTCTTACTATTATTTATATGTGAAATTAAAGTTCATTGTGCTTTTTTAATTTGCATTTTGCATTTAGTATTCAATTGTATTTTCTTACAGAGCATATGCCGGGTATCATCTATGAAAACAAAACAAGTGTGTCGATTTTGTCAAGAAACATAACTTTAAAAAAAATATATTTTAAGCAATCAGGATTCTATCAACCAAATGTATTGCATTTTGATACCCAATCTTACTAAACAAACACCTAACCAAAACACTCCATATTCCCTTATCCGGATAAACCCCATCTTCCACCATTTTCACCACCCATTCCTCAGCTTCAACCACACCATTTGACTCACACATCCCATAAACAAGACTCGTGTATGTAACCAAATCGCCCCTCAAACCATGTTTCTTCATGGCTTCCAAGAGTTGACTCACAAGGTCAACCCTACGATTCTTACAACACCCATTTATCATTATGTTGAAGGTGATTTTATCTGGTTTCACCCCTTTCACCACCATCTTTGCCATAACCTTCAAACCATCATCAACCCTATCATTACAACAAAACATGTTGATAATCGTGTTATACGTCACCAAATTAACCCCAACCCCTCTTTCTTCCATCTCAACCAAAAGGTCAAACATGGCTCTAAGGTCGTTGACTTTTGAAAACCCCATCAATAGCTCATTGAATGTTGTCAAATCAGCCATGTTCCCCATTTTAAAGAGCAAATTCATAGCTAAATCCACTTTTCCATTGGCACATAGACCTTTGATGAATGCATTGAAGGTGGCTGCATTCGGTGCACAATTCATGTTGTTGATAAGGTTATAAGCTTCTTCAAACATGAAATTACGAGAAAGGACATCCACCATTGATGTGTACACCACAACATTCGGGTGGCAGCCTTGTGTTATCATCTTGTTCCATGTCTCTGATGCACCTACAAAGTCCCTACATTTTGCATACCCGTTGATCAAAGTTCCATATGTTGTTACATTTGGAAGGAATGATCTTTTTTCCATTTCAAGAAAACAAGAAACAGCTTTCTGCATATTTCCAATAGAACAGAACCCGTGTATGAGAGTGTTGTAGGTGACAACATTTGGTGAAATACCCTCTTGGATCATTTTGTTATAAACTTGATACGCATCTTCCATTTTCCCTTTCATGCAAAAACCCTTTATCAAACAAGTGAAAGTGAAGACATTCGGGTTGCATTGTCTCAAGAACATCTTGGCCATTATCGCAAGTGAAAGCTTAACTTCACCAAGATCTGAAAGGGTGTTTATAATTGTTGTGAAGGTGATTTCGTTTGGAAAAACCCCATGAATTACCATGTCTTCTATTAACTGAAACGCCTGGTTTAAATCACCTTCTTTGCAGAATCCCTTCATTAAAGCATTATATACAGAAACCATAGGAAAATCTCCCATAATGGTTTGGACAAGCTCCTTTGCTTCTTTTACCTTACCAAGATGGCACATTGAAGAAACAATGGTGGTGTAACTCACTTCATCTGGAGAACATCCTTTCTTTGACATTTCTACGAGCACCTTGTGTGCACCATCAATCCGATTGTTCTTGCATAGTGCTTTCAATAAGATGTTGTATGTATACTTATCTGGTTCCATCCCATCTCTCTTCATGTTACTATAAATAGGATTAATCATATGAAACTTATTCTCGTTCAACAAAGCATCCAATAGATGGTTATAGATCTTAACAGTAGGCTTACACCCAAATTCTTGAATTCTGTAGAATGTTTTCAGGGCTTGATCAGCTGCTCCTGCTCTTCGGTAAGAACTGATTACACTGATGAATAAATCTTCCGAGCAACTGATCCCTTCCAGTTTCATCTGCTGCAGAAGGTATTGAACTCCATCTACATCGCATTCATCCCCTAGCTTTTCGATAATTGTTTGGTATGTGAGACTTGTATGTCTGAAAGTTTTTGAATTGGATAGGAATTTAAAATATTCAAGAGCCAAAGTAATGTCTTTTTCATGGTTCAACCTCTTCAAGACATCAGCTTCTCTCAATTCTGTCTTTGGGTTTTGTTGAATTTGTGGATTAAGACTGGTGTTAGTGTTGAAAACAAAAGGGATTGAAGGTTTCCTGACCTTTAGCAGCAAAGAACATTTCTCTTTCAAATGCATATTGTCCTAAACTGAAATTAAAAATGCCATTGCATAGTAACAAACCCCCAAATTCCACTGCTCAAGCGTATATGAAAACTAGAAGAAACCCCAATAAAAAACCAAGCTTTCAAAGTGATCAGAATTAATGGAATCGGAAAATTTAACAGCTTGGTGGAATAATCACACCAGGAAATTAAAAAAAGAAACCCCTAAGGAGATGGATAACAAATAAATCGAATTGAACAGATGGTAAAAATCTGAAGGATATTTGTTTGAGAATGATGGACTCCTAAAATAAACAAAAGGGAACGAAACCCAGATGAGATGATGATTAAATTGAGCAGAATAGCAATGGATGTGTAGGGTTTATGCTGTGTGCCTACCTTCTTCAGGTCCTTCCATCAGCTTCTCCCGGACACGGGAAACTTTGCTCGTTATCTAAGGAGTAAATTACAGAAATGGTCCCTGTAACTGTCGTAACTTTGCATTTTCTGTCCAACTTTTTAATATTACGTTTACGTTCTTAATTTTGCATTTTGTTGCGAGGCTATGATTGTCTCTCCCCATGTGAAATTAGTCAAATTACTAAAATACTATTCTTTTTTTAACAGCTTTCTGTCCAACTTTTAACATAATGGGATTTTGCAACGACAAAACAAAACCAAATTTTAGTTTATGATTTCTATTTAAAAATCATAATCTTTCTAAACCTCTAAATCTAAATGGTCCACAAAAAGGAGAAAATTATGACATCCAAAGCCATCCTTTTAGTAGGGGTGGAGACAAGATTTTGTATTAGGTGTACCCGGTAAAATATATTTTTTTTTTAATGTAGTGACACAATAGTAAAAAACCGAAAAATTCAAAAAAATTTACACTATGTCGGAAAAAAAACAGGGATGGGCGCCATAGTGGAACTGCTCTTGCCTTTGGTCAAGAAAAGTTGTATCGTGTCTATGCAGTCTAACGCTACTTCCATTAAGCTAAAAACCAATAAATTCAACACACAAAGTAGAAATAAAGCTCCAAATATTAATATGCAGCTACCACACACATAATGAAGGGGTGTGCTGCCTCTTTCGGATCCAACAAGCAAATCAGATACAAAGTGGCAGGAACATCAACCTCTCTGTTGACAAGATTTCTCTAATTCGTCAGCTTATTCAATCGTAATCTTCAGCCAAAAATGTTAACCTATTCCACAGGGTAGAAAAAGTCGATATATACAACAGCTCATCTTCAATATGCTTTCTAGCCACACTATTTGTGAGCATGTTCTAGCCATCAAGCATACATCTCCACCGGTCCCGATCACCAAAGTTTAAAAAGACCTAATCGAAATAATCATTTCTTCCATATTCACTTCCTGGGAACCATCGTAATCTCGTGTTTCCCTTTTCAAACTCAAGTGTTTCCAATGTATTGAACCTTTATGACACAATCTTTATCCCTTTCCAAAAGAAAAAGTCTTGAAAATCTAAACGTCAATGGAACCTCTCCAACCCAATCGTCATTCCAGAATAAGGTTTTAGTAATTTATATTATTATAATGATTAATATAGTATTTAGAAACTTTGTTAAGTGGTTATTATATGTTTGATATGTTAGAAAAGGTTATTAATTATCATTTAATTAGTTCCATATATTAGAGTTTAATAGGAGCTCTAATATTTGTGTATAAATAATGGATGGTCCTTTCAAACTACGGGTAGTGTTATAAGATGTATTTGGTCTACATACATTCAAAGGTGAAATCAAGTTGTGAAACTACAATGTTTTTGGTAATGTAATATGTATATCCTTGTACTTATTGCATTATAACAGAAAATATATAAGGTTTTAGCAAATGATCATTAAAAGGAAGGTGTAGTTCACTCTGAAACAGTCATGTGGAGTTAAAGTTTGTCAAAATTTGAGTTCGTAGGAGGAAGTTATGGTCTTTTGAAGTTGAGACAAAATTGTTGTGAGAAGCGTAGCGTGTCTTCACGGACTTTGCAAAAAATAAAAGCCTTAACTCAGTTTTTTTCACCCCATTTACACCCAAAACAGTTCCAATAAAACATAGAACGAATTTAGGGCAATTTAAGGGGATTTTGACCAAATATTGAAGCTAGATGCTAGGACAAAGCTATTAAGTATATTATGGTATCTTTTTGTTCCTTTGTATTAAGCTAATTAAGCTTAATTAGTGAAAAGTTTGAAAGAGTTGTTAGTACTCTAAATGAAATCTTGAGATTATCATATGATACATTTAGTAGTATGCGAAACACAATTATGAACTTAGTCAACGAGTTCTACAGTTAAATTCTTAAATTGGTTAATTAGGGTTATAAACTCTAATTAGTCAAATTGATAGGAATGTGAAATTAAGGAGTATATGTAGGCTTCCTTAATCGTGCTCTATTAACAAAAAAGATAACAGGAACACAAAAATATATCACAAAGGTTTTTCACTAAGAAAATGTTCTCACCAAGAGAACAAGCACAAAGCTATTAAGTTTCAAAAATAAACTACTGATACAAACCCTGATACATGATTTTATAGTAAAGCAATGTTGTGAGAATCCCTACATTCATGGGATCTCACCTAATCTATGTAAATAATAAAATATCTGATATCCCTAAGATAATGGATCTGCTAATTAACTACACGTATAACCATAAATACAAGATGATATAATAGCATGCTGACGATGCTTCGTAGAACAGATCTTTACATTGGTGTTGGTGTGACGACGGAGTTGATTGAAGTCAACATGTCTTCATTTTGTCTCATCAGATTCTGAGGTTCGACCTTATAATCCCCCCCCCCCCCCACCCCAATCTGATGATGTCAGAACACAAAAGCTCCTTTTTCTGGATGGTAATAGAACTCATCAACATCTTCTTTAGCTTCTAGCCTGACCCAGAAATAATCAGAAATAATCAGAAATAGCAATCTCTTCCTTCCTTTTGTTTAGCTCAAGAGAGATTAAGAAGTGATAGTTTTGTTTGAGTTCTAAGTGACACAAACATGCATTTCTTAGATGAACTAAGTGGTCATTGGGTGTCTTGACAAGATCCTTGGAGCAATGGAAGCACATGTGCTGAGATTCATCCATGTAAATTATTTCATGCTCTGGTTGATGAACAAACATGTGTTAAATAGGATCAACACCCACTAGAAAAAAGTTATCGATGACTTTTGTGCCCTAATTTAGTATAAATATGACACCTTTAAAAATTCTCTTGCGAGGCATTAAAGCAGACACTGAGGATGAGGAAGGTTTATTTGAGGTCTTGGCACTAAGTCAAGATCTTTAACCTTAATGATAAGTTTTTTCAAGAACAAGCCTCGATTCCTAAACGTATTTCCTTTTATGCTTGTTATTCAACTCTAGAAGCTACAGCCACTTCTATACCTAAATTTCACAAAATCATGGGAAGATAAGACTTCAGTGTATTGATCAGCGGCTTTACACTTGTCACCACGCCTTGTGATATACACTGTAAGCATTGTTTTAGTTTTGGGCTTAGTGCATCTCATTATTATTATTATTAGGTCAGAGTCACTTATTCTAGTTAGCATGTCTCCAAATATGTTTCGTCCAAGTCTGATTATTGCACTTTCTTCTTTGACATTTCAATGGTTAACTTGTCCAGGCGCTCAATCTGATTAATCATAGTGCCAGTAGCAATTAGCTTTTTTGAATTTTCTTGTAGTCTTTTTAGAAAACATTCAATTTACAGACTGCATGCATGTTGTGTTGCCTAGCAAACTCCTTAGCTTCTTTAACGGAAACTCCACATACCTTTTCCATTTAATATATAGCAAGATCCTAGCGATTCCTTTTGGAAGGGTCGACATCATAAGCAAGAACAATTTTGTCTTTACGTTTCTTGCTCAAAGGAACTTCATCTTCATTTGACTTAATGTCACTAGGCTCCCCTTGAGAAACCTTCTCCTCCCCTGAGGTATTTGCTCCCCTCAACGTTAGCATGGGAATCTGGAAACACTGTTTGAATTGGCACTTCATTAATGAATGACAAGTCTGTGCAAATAGGATTCACCATCCGACTGATCATGAATATCCTCAGTATTCATTTCAGCTTCAGCATCAGCATTGGCAATAGACTTAGTGAAATTCTCCCCCATTTTGGCATCATTAGGCTAAAGAGGTATAGTAAGAGAGAGTGCAAGATTTTGATTCTATGGAGTTGGAGAAGGAGTAGGAGAATTATTTGGAGGGGGAAGATTTAATGGAGGGGGGGCAAGAGGCAACAGAGGAGGAATGATAGATGAAGGACCACTAGTCGGAGGAGCTCTGATAGCACCAGGAGGAGGTTTTTAATCATTTCCAAGAGGGTATTAATTCCCATCATCCTCAGATTCACTGACTCTTTTTATAATTCCATGGGGAGTCGATTGGTGAATTGAATTGCACTATTATTTGGTTGAATTATTGGTCCGGGTGGTTGTAAATTTGCTTGCAGGTTGGTCATGTCCACGTTAAGAAAGCGCTCGGCTGCCGCCCAAGGCAAAGCTACCACTAGAGCTCAAAATGAGGAACCAAACATTCCAAGGTTCCGGGTCATCAAAGCGGTTGAAAACTACAAAAATAGTTTACCTAAGAAAGTTGCTTCAACCGAATTTTTGTGTAGGCCCACGCTCATTTCATTAGGGATTCTTAATATGGTTACTTAATTGTTCCATAACATTGGGTAGGAAAATCTTCTCAAACTCATATAACAACTTCCTACTAGAGAGTTTCTTATTGATTGTAGGTTAGAGAATGAGAGGAGAATAGTTGTGTTCCAACTTACGGGGGAGCCGATGCACATCGATTTCGCAAGGGTAAATGACATCTTGGGCTTACCTTCCTCGAACACATTTGTGGCTTTCGATTCACTGCTTGCCGAGTTCAACCATGAGACCTTTTGGATAGAAATTACTAGAGGGATCTTTTCATGCGCTAATCCCAATAAGGCAACCTCCATCATTCACCCATTCCTCTGCATTACCCATCGTATCTTTGTGTGCACTGTCTTTGCCCGTAAAGAAGTCGGTCAAGTCATGAAGATTAAGTTATTCTTCCTTTGGTGCATGACACGACGTGAAAACCCTCCGATCCCAGATTTTTCCTCGTTCTTTTTCTATAAATGTGCAATCATGAAAACCAAAGCATCCGATGATATTTTCATTGGAGGATTTGTCATCCTTTTAGCCTGCGGTCTTGACATCGAGCTCCCAGACGACCACACGCCTATAGACAACAAAATTCTTTTCGATGAGCGTGTTCTAACAAACATGCATCACATCTGTCATAGCAGTGGAGGCGGTTTCAAATGGCATTGTCCTCAAGGGGTCGGATATCTTATTCTTCCCGACCCTTGAGTCTCCAACTTCACTTTCCACAATCGTACTCAGTGGAAACTCGAGAGGACCATCACCCAGACATTTAATGAGGACGCGCTCCATGCTCAAGACGATGACAGGATGCATATGGATGACGAGTCTGGCGATGAACCCACCCATGGTCCACAACAAACCCAACCATAAGCACCTCCTGAATATTACCTGCTTCCCACCAATTTTGTTGAACAGTTCGAGGCTCTCTGTGTCTCCAACCAAATCATGCCACGACATATGCACCATATGTGGGGCTGACACCAATCACAAAACCACTTTGAAAACATGCCACTTCCTCCTTCATATCTATATCCTCCCCCCCCCCCCCACACACACACACTCACCCTTATCCCCCTCCACCCTATCCTTACCCTTACTCAATACCCTTATCCTCCTCCACACCCCCCAATTTAGGTACTTTTGCCTCGCCCCAAGCATTGAGGACAATGTTTATTTCTAAGCTTGGGGTAGGGGGTATTCCCTTTTCTTTTACTTTTTCATGAATTATTTTAGGTTTGCATATCATATTAGTAGTTAATTTGCATTCATTTTTTATTTAAAGATCCAAAAGGATTTTGTTTTCTTCTTTTCCACTTTTTATTTTTGTACGGCATTTAGCTTAGGGCATTAGAATTCATTCATTTTTGTTATCTCTTTATTTTCATCCCCGAACATCTTTACTTGAAAGACTCGACACACCTTAAATACAATTCTTTTGGAAACTCATATAACAAATAAGAATCGCTCATAGGGACTTTCAGTTGTTGCATCTTCTTTTTATATATATGTGGGGAGAGAGTGCAAGTAGTTATGCAAATGAATCGACTTATGGCAAGTGTGGCATAAGTAAGGGGATGTCTTAGCCTTGTGCCGACTAGTTCCTCACATGCATGTTCATTACAAGCCACAATCAAACCCCAAAGAAAAAAAAACAAGATCTACATTTTTCTATTTTGAGATCCTTAGTGTCTATCTGCTACATTACACAACATATCTCATCACTTTATGATTTAGACACATTTTTTTCCACTTAATCTCAAATTAGCCTTAGTGTAGTTGTGCTCAACTTTTGCACTTAGTATCTTTAGATTCGCTTATATAGTTGTGCTTTGTTGTTTTTCTTCACGTGATGCAGTCTATGTAAAACTCTTGCAGTAAACCAAAAAATTAAGCCAAAAAAAAGAGACAACTATCCCTTTTTTAGTATTGTTCATTTTGTTTATGTAAGTGGTTGTGTAGTTATTTTTGTTTTTTTTCCTTGAAAATCAAAGGCAAGTTGTTTTAAAATGTCTCTTGGAAATTCTTGTACTAATTTTTGATAATTTTTGGTGGAAGCGTAGTATTTGTTATGTGTTCTGTGAAGTTTCATATGTGTTTATTTTTGTTTGGAGAAGTCAAGTTTTGTTCCTATGTGAAGTTTGAACTTTATTTTTGTTGATTTTAGTCTTTAAAAGTGCCAAAAAAAATTGCTTTAAAAAGTCAGATATTATCGTAACCATAAAATGAGAATATAGTTAGATGTTTTTAGTATTTCCTTCATTGTGTTTTTTATAGATTTTTTTAGTAGCTCAAGAAGTTGTTTTTGTAATTGTCTCTTTGGGTTTTTATTGTAAAAAAAAAAAAAAAAAAAAAGTTGGGCCACGGAGTTGCATCCATTTTTTTCATTTATTAGATGTTTAGACCTTTTGGATTTTAGTTCATGTAATTTGCTTCTAGTTTGATGTTTTTCTAGTTTAGATTTCATCTTTTGTTGGCACTACAATGGCTCCCTTTACTCATCGCGTGCTCGATTCTTTGCTGTACATGGACCTCATTTTGGTGGAATCACTTATTCTTTTAGATGATTGTAGTTTGCCAACCTTTGTACATAGCTCATTCATTGTCATTTTTGGCTCGAGTTATCTTTTTCTAGGTTTTGTTTATTGGCGTGGGGTTGAAGTTGTGAGGAATGAGGAACATTCTAACCGAGTGACGTTTTCTTATGGCTTGTGGGCAAGATCGGACCACGAAACAATGTCACATAAATCATAGTAGTGAAGTATGCATGCTCATTTTGTATCTTGATCAACATGTATCCCTTGCTAGAAAGGTAACAAAGGCTCGTCTCTTAAAGCGATTCTTATCAATAAAAATGGATTATATGTTTTTTAAGGGTGTTGTTGTGTATTTCTGCCTAAGATGTTTATTCTTTTTCCTTTTTAGGTTAATTCATCACGGGTTCATTTTAGTCTTATCTTACTTGAGGACAAGTAAGGTTTAAGCCTGGGGTGATTTGATAGCTTCATTTTATTACTTCTTTTCTTAGTTTATTTATAGTTCATTCCATCTCATTTTAGTCAATATATATATATATATATATATATATATATATATATATATATATATATATATATATGCATATGTTTCCTTTTTGTTATTTTTCATATTTATCAGGTACTTTCTAGTCTTTTGAGCTTAATTGTAGGATTTACCGAAGACTATTCAACATGGAGGTATGGAAGGCATGCGGGACTTTGGAGGCTAGTGGTTTGCTTGTGGACTTGAAGTGGTGCGATTGAGCTTAGTGTCAACATAAACAAAAAAGCAAGCTGGACTTAATTTTTGGACGAGAATGATGACGAGGTGAAGAGAATTCGAGCTATAGAAGATTAAAGGAGCATTAGAGTATCTTTGAAGACTTTGGAAGGCATAATTGGGCTATCAATAATTTGTGAAAATGGGCTTCATTGATGAGAAGAGTGGGATGGTGTGCTAATTAAATGGGCCAAGGGACCCATTCAGCGAGACCCATGCGATCCACGTGGATCCATAAATGGTCCACGTGGATCGTGTTGTGAAGGATCTGGGTTTTTGACATGAACCTCTACTTTGGGAAGGTTGGTAGGGTGCTTGTGGCTAGCTTTTGGATCCAAAAATTGGACTCTTTTTACTGGAGATTTTGAATAGAACTAGAAAAACACATTGAAGAACAACTCATTTTTTCTCTCGAGAGGGTTTTGGAAGAATTTGAAGATTTTGAAGATCAGAGTAATTTTCTTTCATCTTTGCAACTTGAATCATGTTTGGTACCTCTAAACTACCTTGTATTTCTTTTATTTTAGTGATGCTTGACTAGACTTATGTTTGGTTGATTAGGGTTTAGCCCATGGATAATTGGTTGTTTTGAAGACTTTATGATATCTTGTGTTTGAAGTTTATGGAAATGTTTTCTAGTCAAACATCTTCTTGTGTTTATTTATCTTTGATCATTAGCTTTGATGAATGAATGCTTATTTTGTTGACTAATTTCTTGGTTAAGTAATGGACCCTCAAATTAGTAAGCAACAAATGGTTTCTATGTTTGTTTTCATTTCATTTAACCCATGGAAATGTTTCCTCCATAATGATAATGTAAGCATTTGATTATCTTTTGGACTTGTTAACTCTTAAAACTTAAAGTTAATTGATTTTCACAAGATTATATGCTTCATTGATTTTGTGACTTTAATTAAGGGAATGTGTTAAGAGCTCTTCTAACCATTTTATTAACAAAGAAGATTTGAGGTAATTCGTGATTATAAATTGCTATAGCCAAGTTAAATTAATTCACAAGTGTAGTTCCATTTAGTCTAATGATAAGTCAGTTATGTTATCCATGTGGTGTATTCAAAAATCACCCAACTTTACTACATTGATTTTAAATCAAATCATCTATTTGTTTACTTGTCATATTTACATTCTAGCTTAGTTTTAATTTTCTCAAACAATCAAAAAGATTTGAACCCCCCCTCCCCCATTTTACTTTTACTCTTGTTTTACAAGTACTTGAACAAGTGATTTGCATAGAGACTAAAATTAAACCAATCTCTGTGCATATGGTCAAGTCTTTTTTGAGATGAAAGGTTTAGATTTACGAGTAAGGTTAGTGGGTCCATGTGTAGCTCGTGCTAAAAAAAATAAAGGTTTATTGACTAATAAATTTTCATACAGAAGATAACAATCAAAGGAAACAAGATATAAGGAAATGTATTGAACAAAGAGTCAATGCCAAAAACATTTAATCAAACCTTTAGAAGAAGAAAACACTTATAATCATAGCCTCAATAATAACTATCAAATAGGAAGAACAAAATACATGTTGTATATACAGTTGACATCAACATGATACTATTCACTTTCCTTACTCCATATTTTGCATACACTATGTACTTGATCAACTCGATTTGTATTTAGTATTCTATGATGACAAATATAGTGGCACTAACACTTAATATAACTTTGGGAGCAAATGCAAAGACTCTTTGTCAAAATGATGAAAATATCCTCCTATGTAGGACACATAAGGGTTTTTTGACATAAGCAAAATAAAATGAGTTAATCAAAATGACTAACTTGCTAACAAACTTTCAAATAGAGACCAAACTTAAAATGCTAATAGTTGGACAAAAGATGTAATCAAATATAAAGATTATAACAATCTTATATATATATATATATATATATATATATATATATATATATATATATATATATATATATATCAGTGTTGTAAAAATCTCGATTAGGTTCCAATTAATCTCTGATTAGTCCGTAGATGCTACCCGACCAACTAGAAGACTCAGAACAATTCATTCCAACCTATATAATGAGTGAAGCAGTACCAAAAGATTATAATTTAAAACTTTAATAAAGTTTTTTCTCAATGGAAACTATTTAAGAAATTATTAGTGTTATATTAATCATATTAAGCTATTTTGTTACGATATTAGTAGCTTTTACAAACTTTTTTTTTGATATTACCATATTTAATTTTTTAAATTCAAAGAATTAACAATTCCAGACCCCCGTTAAATCCCTAGATTAATCCCCGTATAGTTCCATTAACTCGAGTACATCGACTAGCTAACGTCGAACATTTTTTACAACTTTGATATATATATATATATATATATATATATATATATATATATATATATATATATATATATATATATATATATATATAT